TATTATTATTATTATTATTATTATTATTATTATTATTATTATTATTATTATATAATGGGTCGTGCCTTTGATCATAAACGCTGGGAGGTAGAAGAGGGTATCTGTGAATTTGAGGCCATCTTGGTCTACAAAGAGAGTTCTAGGACAATCAGGGCTACACAGAGACACTCTGTCTCAAGAAAAAAAAAAAAAACCTAAGCTTCAATGATTACATTTCATAACATGCAAGGTGCCTAGAATAGTGTTCATGTCAGTAAATATAAAGTAGATGATCCTGTAAACTGTACTGCTGTAATTTTTTTTGGAGGGGGCATGTTTGAGACAGGGCTTCTCTGTGTAGCCCTGGCTCTCCTGGAATTAGCTTTCTAGACCAGACTGGTCTCCAACTCAGAGATCCACCTACCTCTGCCTCCAGAGCGCTGGGATCAAAGGTGTGCACCGCCACTACCACCTGGCACAATTAATTTTTTAACTTTTTTTAAACATATACCCAAAATATGCTACCTTCAGCATAAGCACAAAGTTATGTTTACATTGCCACAGAAACTTAAAGTTCGGGGGTTTTATTTCTTTTTTGTTTTGTTTTTGGTGTGTATTTGTGTGTCTGAGTGACACAGTACACACATGAGTGCAGGTGCCCTCAGAGGCCATCGGTGCTGGATTCACCCTTCGCCCTGGGCTGAAGTCACAGGCAATTGTGAGCGGTCTCGGGTTCTGGGAACGAAATTCAGGTCCTGTGGCAGTGCCGGAAGTACCCTCAACCAGGTACTTAAATGAAGCATTGCTTTCAAAACTTAGATTTCCTGGAATGCTTGTGACAGGCCCGAAAGTCACCCGTGTGCTTTCCAGGAAAGCTTTTCTCCACTCTTAACTTAGGTGAAACAGTGAGTGTCTTGGCCATTGCACTTGTTAAAAACTGAGCCACAGCATCTATGGCCAAGGGGACAAACAAAAAGTCTGTTCTCCACAGAGTTTATAAATACTGAAAGAAACAAAATAAGCCAGGTAATTTGAGTTTGAGGCCAGCCTGGTCTACAGAGCTAGTTCCAGGACAGCCAGAGCTATACACAAAGAAACCTTGTCTCAAAAAATCAGATTGATAGATGATAGATAGACAGATAATAGATAGAGAGATACATACATACACACAGACAGACAGATAGATGGATAGTAAAATAAAAGTAGACCTGAACTAATAAGATTCATTAAAGTTTATGTGGAAAATTTCTGCCATTTTCATCATGAACAAATATCATTTTAAAAGTCACCATCCCGGAAAATCAATCCTTTTATTAAAGAGTCAAACTGCCAAGCAGATATTTACAGATTCACTTACCCTGCAGTAGAGATGCAATGAAGGCAGTTGCCACACTGCTAGAACACAAAAGTATGGAATGGCTGAGGTAATATTTCCCTTCTGGAATCCAGCCCAGTATGATCGCTGCCACGGCTGCTAAAAAACCAACCACTGTGGCCTGAACCTAAAATCCAGATCAATTAGTACTTTTTAAAACATTAAATCTTCATTAGTAAATCATTATGTACAAGGGAATCAGAAGTACTGTGCATGGTAACTAAACTACTTTCATTTTAAAGAGGCAACTGGATGTGAGTTTTATACCACTGAAGACAGTGGGCTCTTGAGCTTCCCCGAGTTATGTCAACAGGTGTGGAATGAGGGGCCAGAGCTTCTCTGTTTTATGATTGAGACAGACTCTCATTCTATAGACCAAGCTGACCTCAAGCTTATATAGATCTGCCAACCTCTGCCCCCACATGCTGAGGAGTTAATCCCCTGGAGCTGAAGTTACAGGTGGTTGTGAGCCACCTGATGTGGGTGCTGAGAACCAAACTCCAGTCCTCTGGAAAAGCTGCCAGTGCTCTTAACTGCTGAGCCATCTCTCCAGCCCCTCCAGGCCTGTCCTTAAGTTCTCTGCATTCACCTTCTCCTTCACAAGTGCTGCTGGTAAGGTTCAGGGAGAAGATAACTCCCCCTACCCTAACCCACAACCCCCATCTCCTCTTCCTTTTGTCAGGGGTAACCCCTCCCACCAACCACTGCCTCACTGCGGGCACCTGTTGTGCCATGATGGATCTGCCCAAGTTCCCTGTTGATCACATGTCCTGGGGGAGCCAAAGACAAAGCCAAGACAAAGGCACATTGAATTTTGGCAACTAGGATCTGCAAATTCCTAGTCATTTCTGGCAACCATCCTCACCAACAGTTACAGGAGAGAGAATGGCAAGGGAGGGTGGTGACTAATGGAAGACAGGTGCCAAGGGCTGGGGCGGGGACTGTTGCAGTGACCTGTATAGATCACTTATGACACATTCATGACTTTAAAGGGTTCAACGTTTAAATCCATATATTTTCAATTTTTTTAGTACTCTATTGATATATAAATATTTGGAAGGTCTTGTTTTGTTCTGTGGTTGTTACAGAGGACAAACGTCTTGTATGTTAGGCAAATATTCTCCCATTGATATACATCCTTGCCTAGGCTTTTATCATCCCTGATTAGATTCCTACAAGGTCCAGCTAAAACATTCTTAGACTTTTCAAAAAAAAAAAAAAAGAACGAAGGAAGGGAGGAAGGAAGGAAGGAAGGAAGAAAGGAAGGAAGGAAGGAAGGAGAGAGAGAGAGAAAGAAAGAAACAAACAAAGAAAGAAAGAAAAGAAAGAAGAACAAGAGAAAAAAATACTATGACTAAAAAGACAAAAATGAAACCCAGAAAGGTTATATAACTAAACAAAGGCTCTACAGCTGGTATCTGTTAGAGCTGTGGCTATAGCTCAGATTTTCTTATTTTCAGAAACTCTTGTTCTTAAAACACAATGCATGAAATTATATTACCACAACTTTGTTCTCAATCTTATGGCCTAGCTGAGCTAACACGAGAATTGCTGTATATTACTGGTGCTCAAACTAGCTAAAGAGTTATTCATGGCAGGTGAAATCTCTGACTTAGAGTTATGAGAGAACAGATGAAGAGGCAGAAGAGACACCTCAGATTAGAAAGAGCCACAGAAATAGAAAGTTCTTGGTTCAGTACATATGTTGCCGGTAATTGAATGGATTTATTATTATTAATGGTAACATTAACTAAGAAAAATCAACATAAACAAATGGGCAGCCACAATATCGAGAAAAGAGTGCAATGAAATTGATCTCTAAGCAACTAATATACTTAAAAGTACACAGTCTTGATATTGAGTTACTGTAGACCCAAGAAGATTAATTTGAACCCAGGTTTGAGATCAGACTGAAAAACACAGTGGTCTCAGCTCAAAAGCTAAAACTAATAAAACAAAACACAAAAAGCAGGGCAAGATGGGTATGCATAAGAAGCTGAGCCTGGGCTGGAGAGATAGCTCAGCGGTTAAGAGCACTGTTAAGAGCAGTTAAGAGGTCCTGAATTCAATTTCCAGCAACCACATGGTGGCTCACAACCATCTACAAAGGGATCTGATGCTCCCTTCTGCCATGTAGGCATACATGCAAACAAATAGAGTGTTCATATGTATAAATAAATAAATACATACACAAATAAATAAATAAATAAATAAATAAATAAATAAATAAATAAATAAGGAAATAAATAAATGAATAAATAAATATTAAAAAAAAAAGCTGAGACAGTGGCGGGCAAGGTGGTGCACACCTGTAATCCCAGCACTCTGGGAGGTAGAGGCAGGCGGACCTCTGTGATTTCAAGGCCAGCCTGGTCTATAAATCTAGTCCAGGACAGGACAGCCAAGGCTACACAGATAAACCCTGTCTCAAAAAAAAGAAGAAGAAGAAGAAGAAGAAGAAGAAGAAGAAGAAGAAGAAGAA